TAAAAAGCAGCTCCATTTAGACACTTGCCTAGACTCCTCCGCTTTTGTGAAACATGTTTATATAAACGTTCATAGAGAGTAAAAATAAATTACAAAGAGAAAATGAAGAGAAAGGCAGATGAAACCACTAAGATTTTTTTTTAAGCCACAAAATCCAAATGAACAAATAGACCAAGGTTTTTAGGCAGAATTAGAATCGCTAAAAATGGCTAACACGGCCCAGCGCAGTCACAGTAACAGGACCAGTGTTCATTATAGGACAAAAACAGAGCATCAGGTTCCCGAGTCAAGGCTCCCAGTTGGGTGTCCCTTGTGTTCCTCTTTGAATAACAGCACACACTTTCAGCTTTATGCCGGAAACATGCACGTAGGAACAAGGAGTTCTTACTCAGTTTGGGAACAAGCAGGCTACCGGCCAAATGCAAGTGCAAATAAATAGCACTTTACAGGACCCTCCTCTCCCCAGTTTAGCCAATACAATTTGGTTTGGCCAAGTCATTCTGAATTGCTCTGCTAAATCTATTGCACTGCAGTAGTCTGAGAGACTTCATACAACAAGAGCATTAAGATGCATGAAGCTAAGTAACTTCCACAGTCAACTCTCCAGGATGCGTGTTAAGTTTGTAGAGAAATTTGCAGCTACTTCCCCAATCACATTTTTAGATACATGCTAACCTCCTACAATCCCCACCCACCCGTAACTGGTTCCGAAACTGCGGACTGCAACGCTGACTGCTGGAAATTCCCTTCCTTCTCTCCTCTCCTATTGGATGTGGAAACTAAAAAAGTGTTCTCAATCTTCTCCTTTTGTTATTTTTTTTAAGTAAACATTTCAGCAGTAGGGGTGGAGGCAGAGATGGGGTGGGAATAGGCTGAATGAGTGAAATACTTTTACAAATGGTACAAGAGAACTCAAAAATTTTACGTGTTTTTTAAAAATTGAGATATAATTCACATACCATGAAAGTCTCCATTTTAAAGTTTACAATTCATTGGTTTTTAGTATATTCACAAGGTGCGCAACCATATATGTATGTTTTAAAACCACACCTTTTATAACCGATTTACTAATATCTTTAAGATTGCAGATAGTGTTTGCATGCCAGGTGTGAAAGGCCAAAACTAGGAAAAGTTATCTCCATTCTTACCCTTGTTCTCTGTACATCAGTGGTTCTCAAAGTGTGGTCCCCAAAACACAGCATCAGCATCACCTAGGAACTTGTTAGAGATGCAAATTCTTGGGCCCCACCCCAGATGTACTGAATCAGAAAGTAATGAGTGGAGTCCTACAATCTCTGTTTTAACAGACCCTCCAAGTGATTCTGATGCACAGTAAACTTGGAGAACCATCGTTCCAGATCAAGACAATTGTACTAGCTTCACATAACTATAGATTTGAAAATGCATATATATTTAATATTAATATATTTAAATGATATAAAAATATATAAACACATATTTTATAATAAATCTCTATTATAAAAATACAACCATATATTTTTATAATAGATTTTTGTGGAAGTTGTCCTTGAAATCAATCCATTAATTTTGTTCTGCCAAATAACCACATACTAATAGCTATATTTAAAAGCAAACGAAGAGGGCCGGTCCCGTGGCTTGGCGGTTAAGTGGGCGCGCTCCGCTGCTGGTGGCCCGGGGTTCGGATCCCGGGCTTGCACCGACGCACCGCTTCTCTGGCCATGCTGAGGCCGCGTCCCACATACAGCAACTAGAAGGCTGTGCAACTATGACATACAACTATCTACTGGGGCTTTGTGGGGGTAAAAATAAAATAAAATCTTTAAAAAAAAGAAAAAGAAAAAGAAATAAATAAATAAAAGCAAACAAAGAAAAAAAAAGAAGAGGAAAGCGGGGAAACAAAAAGAAAGGAAAAGCACAAGACCTCAAATGAAAATGAAAAGCAAAATAAATAAGCCTACCGAAACTGTGCATTTTGTAAGATAATAAATGCAAATATAGATAAGAATCTCTGAGCTAGTCTTTCACTGATCTGCCCTATTTCTCTACCTTGTATCTCTAGCATTTATCTATTACAAATTAGCAACAAGAAATCATGGGATTCCAAACAGTGTAACTCATTTAGAAAGGCGAACAAATGAAAATAGTAAAAGTCCCAGAGTTTTCCACGAGACTCTAAGCCCTAAACCCCGAAAGAGACACTGGAGCTGCTCATGTTGTAGCAAGGTCAAAAAAGTGAAGCCTAAACACTGGGGCCTGTGGGGGTCTCATAACAGGGTTTGGAACCAATTTTGTGGAAGCTTTTCCTGTCATAATGAAGAAAATGAAGCGCAAAACGCTGATTTGTTAAGGTGCATATAACTAAGGTAGGCTATAATCCAGATCTCCTGACTTCCGGTCCAGAGCCCCTTTCTCTTCCAGACTGCACCCCCTCCACACCGGCTGGGCAGCCCTTTTTCCTTTGGGTAAATTTAATGATTCAGATATTAGGAAAAGATAAACATTTTTTAAAAAATCAAGTCTTCATTACCTACCACCCAAATACAACCACTGTTAAAAGTTTGTTATATCTCCTTATAGTTTTTTTCCTTATGCAAATATATATATGAAGACATACACACACACACACACACACACACATTTGTGCAATTTCCTATCTGGCTGTTTTCAACTGAATATTACATGTAAGCATTTTTCCAGGTTCTTCAACTTGCTTAAAAAAAGGAAATTTTAATGGCTGAATGGGGTTGCTTCATTGAGATCTATCATCTTTTATGTAACTAATCTCCTAAAATGAGATGTTTGAGTTGTTTCTAATATTTTACAATGATAAATAAAGCTTCAATGGGTGTCACTGTATACAAATCTTTGTGTACTTCTGTGGTTATTTCTGTATGAGAAATTCCTAAAAATAGAAACACTAAGTCAAAAGGGGTGAATAAGCCTTATGGCATGATTGCCCAATTGCTCTCAGATAGGATGTACTACAAGCAGTGCAATAAGAGCTTATTTAAACTCAATCTCACCATATTATTTTTCTATCTTTTCCAATGTGCTTGGGAAAAATAAGTGTCTTTCAAATCGCTAATGGTTTTTCATTAATCATCAAGTTTAAAAAGCATTTAAGAACTAGGCATACACTTACTATATGACCCAGCAATACTACTCTTAGGTATTTACCCAAGAAAAAGGGAAACGCATCTACCAAGACTTGTGCAGGCCCAAAGTGGAAACAACCTAAATGACCATTGACTGATAAATGGATAAACAAACTGTGGTATATCCATACTATGGAACGCTATTCAGTAATCAAAAAGAATGAAATATTTATACAGGAAACAACATGGATGAATCTCAAAAACATTACACTAAGTGAAGGAAGTCAGACACAAAAGACTATATACTATATGTCTGATTCCACCTGCATGAAATTCTAAAAAAACAAAACTATAGTAAGAGAAAGGAGGTCAGTGATTGTGGCAAGGGGCAAGAGAGGGAATCTACTGGAAAGAGGCATGAAAATGCTTTTTAGGGTGATAGAACCATATCTTAATATTTGGATGCCACCAAGTGGACAAACTGTGTAATGTTATTGAGATTGAGTAGATCATTTTATAAACTTCAGAAATAAAAAATTAATGTTTAAAAGTTTTAAATTTATTTTAAAAATTAAATAAATTTTAAAAATTAAAACAGACCATTTCATAAAGGTACTAGACCATGATCCTCATCTACCTCTTTTAGTAACTTAATTCTCAAATCTGAATCTAGGGAAATCAGTTGAGGAAAAGAACTTCCTGTTGAAATCAAGTTCTTTACAAACTAAAACCAGGGGTGTAAATGATAGTTACGAGGCTATCTTAAGCCCCAGACCAAAAATTTTTTAGAGACCTCCAAATGCAAACAGCCTTTGCTATCAGCCAACCAAGTGACTTCTAACAATAAGCCCTCCCAGGAGGTACAATGAAACCAGCCATGAAAACATGGTGAAGATTGGAAGGCAGAGAAAGATGGCAGGAAACTCATTCTCCTTTGGGCAAAGGCTTGCTGATTCTCTTTATGAGCCACCAGGATTTTCTCCCCATAGTCCCTAGCCTCTCCAGTTGAAGCTTTTAATATTGCATTGAAATGGTAAATGGCTAGAGCCACAAAAAGAAAGATTATTTTAGGGAAGTGTTTGGTCCCTGCCAGGATTGACAAAAGAATGACTATTTCAAAAGAATGTCTTTGAATGACACCAAGCCATTGCCTGCCACAACGCGGGGAGATGAACACTCTGCTCTACCTGTAACCCAACACTCCTCCCAATTATTTTTTCTGACACTCTTTAACCCTCTCCATCTTGCTGCCAATCTCCATAAACTGAAAAAGAACAGTTAAAAAAAAAAAAAAAGGAAGAAAAAAAACTCCAGGAATGCCATTCCAAAGAACTCTTAAAAAAATGTCATGAATCAATAAAGTGAGAAACCAGTGAAAAACATAGCTCACTAAAACAGAACTACGGCTTTATTGTGGTAAATTATAAGCCTGTCTTCTGTTTGCTGAAATGTTTGTTTGCTTGTTTGTTTTCATTCTAATTATATTTCTTAATAGAAAATACATTCATTCAATAAAAATTCAAAAGGTACAGGAGAGTAAAAAATAAAAATCTTCCAACTGCTTCCCTGGCTGACCAGCCCCATACCCAGAGGCAAACATTAACCATTTCTTGTGACTCCTTACAGAAATATCTTATACATAGACAAGTTACATATACACATTCTCCCATGTAGACATTCGATCCCATCCCCTCTTTCTTATTACACAAATGGTGAACCACTATATATAATTATGCTTCTTTTACTTAATACTACAATATATCATGGTGTTCACACCATATCAATACACAGAGCTTCTCATTCATTTTAAAGCTGTATCATATTCCATCACATGGATGTACCATAAGATATTTAAGAAGTTCCTTATTAAAATGGACATTTAGCTTTTCCAATCTTGTACTGTTTTTATTATTATCTTCTTACCTGAAACTCTCTGAGCTAATTTTATTGCTCCTTCAATCAGGTCTGAGTTCACAATTTCATCTAGAATACCCAGCTTGAGTGCTTCGTCTGCCAAAACATGTCTTCCTAAAACAAAACAAAATAAAACAAGCCAAAGAACAATGTGAGATTAAAGCAAAAGCATTACTCTCTCTAGTAGGGAAGATTATCTGTCCTGAATATAAACACCTATCATTAAATAAAATAAATCAGCACCACACTGACTGTCATAGTAGAAAGATCACTGCAGAAGTAACCAGAAAACAGGGATTCACGCTTCAGCTCTACCTTCTACTATTTGTGATGATGAAGAACTGCACCAGGACCACAATTTCCTCATTGGTAAGTAGGAATAATTATGCTTACCTTAGTAATTCTGAATATCAAGTGAGAATAATACATTTTCTTTATATTCTACAAATCTCTATAGAAGCACTTTATAAATTAAAAATCTCTATATGAGATGATTGTTTTTTGATAATAACAATAGAAGTGGTAATAGCAGAGCAGTAGCAGTAGTATCTATCTTATACCAACATATACCAGAGGTTATTGTTGATTACCACACACACACAAAAAAGACAGTCCCCAAACATAAATATAGTTGGGTAGACAGGGAGAAAATTATTAAGTTGACATTATGTAAGTCATAATCAAAATTACACAGGACAAATGGGGTGGATTTCTGCCATTTTGGCTACCCAGCATCTCAACCTCGTCCTTAGTTTGTAGAATCGCTATTGTGTATGATTTGGAGCCCTGTCTCCTACCAGAGAAACTAAAAAGGAAGCAGAGGTGATCAGACAATTGTTCCTTCAGACCCATGGAAGGTACGGTGTGGCCCACGACCCCATGCTTGGCAAAGAGTGCTCTACTGAAGGTTTTTAGCCTGGAGATTTAAGCAGCAGCAACAGCTTAAATCTCATTTCACAGGTGGTGACATCTAGGGTCTGGTGATGGTGGTGCCAGGAACGTCTAGTGTCCAGTGGTGGCACTGGCAGCCCCCAGTAAAGAATGGCAGCCCTAGGGGGTTACAGAAGTTTGATGAGCATCACTCCCAAGTTCTTTACCAGGTGTAAATACGTAATTTGATCTGTATATTCTGAAGTAGGGGATTAAGGGATATAAGCATCCCTTACCACAGGGTCAGAAGGAAGGAGACAACACATTACTTGTTTCCTTGCCAGTACCATCTTGCCTTCTAAAATGCGATATCATCAAATCACCCTTGGTGGCAACAATTCCACAGTCTTCGCTGCTCTCACAGACGGTGTTGGTAGATGCCCGTCTCTGAGACAAACCCTCCATTGCTCGTTCTTATTACTGCTTCAGAGAGCTACAAATGGGTTTTCTTGGTCAGACAGTTCAATGCTTTTTGGCAGGAGTCACTCTGTGATAGAAATACTTGGGGAGTTTTCTGGAAGTGTCTTTGAAAACAGGCTTTCAGATCTCCTCCCAGAGTGAGGAGGACGATGGGGAGTGGGTGAGTGGCTTCAGAGGTCAAGTCTCCTGTGTATAAAATCACGGGTGAGGGGGTGAGTGAATCAGCCTCCCCAGGTTAAGGGGACCAGTGGACACAAAATGGAAGATGGAAACCTGAGTACTAAAAAGATCTTTGGGGCAACTGAGCGGGAAACGTGAGCTACCCACAGAATGGACTGAAAAGTCCTGCAGCTGTAATGATTTCTTCCGGCCTGGATTTCACAAAAATGGAGGCGTACCACTCGTGCTCTTACAGAGTCAACAAGATTCCAGGTACTTTTATTCTGTTTCAAGGACCTAAAGACACGGCTCTGTGTATCCAACCCAAAGCCTCAGGCTGAGATTTAAACTTGTTTTTTCTCGTGCCACTCTCCAGTATACACGACAACCAATGTCCAACGGGCTCTAATAAGAGCACTGCCTAGAGCTGCTATAAGGAGACCCCCCACCCCTGCTGGGGCAACTAAAGCTGAGATTTCTCTTCTCCAAGCTGAGTAATCTCAATTTTTTTCCAATTTTCTTCATGGCTTCTTTTCCAACCTTTAGAAAAAAATTTCTAGACGGAACTTTTTCCAGATGTCATTTTAAAGTCCCCCTAAATTGTACAGGATACTTAAAAAGATAGAGATATGGGGCCGGCCCTGTGGCTTGGTGGTTAAGTGCGCGCGCTGCAATGCTGGTGGCCCGGGTTCGGATCCCGGGTGCGCATCGAGGCGCCACTTCTCCGGCCATCCTGAGGCCGAGTCCCACGTACAGCAACTAGAAGGATGTGCAGCTATGGCATACAACTATCTACTGGGGCTTTGGGGGGAAAAAATAAAATAAATAAAATCTTTAAAAAAAAAAAAGATAGAGATATGATTCTGATGTTAGCTTTCTTCTAATTCACTGTGACCTTTTCTATGCAAATCAAAATCCCTCATATTCTTACTGTTTTTACCTCTTCTCTCATGTTAAAAATAGCGCTATTTCTATAAGCAGTGCTTTGGAAAAGGCCAATCCTAGTTCACTTCATTTCTTTTTGTCAAAGAAGCCAGATTTCTCCCAAGATACTCTTGCCTTTCAGATTTAAGGCAGAAAATAGGGACACAAAATTCTGCAATATTTCCCCACATGCTTTAATTTTTGTAAACCTTAAAATTTACAGACTCATTTCACACAATTATAATTTCCTCCTATATTTTATGCTTCTTTGCTTCCTTTCTATTTTATCTTTTGCAGAATGAATCGGCTCATGTGCTTTGAATTTCTGTTTGTAGTATGTTGGAGTGAAAGTACCCTCTTATGCATTCTGCATTAGATACTTAAAATAGTTCACATTCTTAGAAGTGTACTTATCATATCATTGTAAATTAAAACAATTTCTAATTTTATTTACTGAAAATAAGAAATTTAATTTACTTTTAGTTTTTCTGACTACTCTTTCTTACTCTACACGATTTATAATACCCCTTCCCCTTATAAAAGAAAAAAACACTTTTTATGCACATAGACTCATTATTTTCTAATTTGGATCATGTATACACAGTTTTGTATTGTGGTTTCTGTGTGGAAAAACGTGAGTGTAAGTAGCAGTTCTTAAACATTTTAATCTTAGGACCCCTTTGCACTCTTATAAATTATGAAGGGGCTGGCCCCATGGCCTGGTGGTTAAGTTCGGAGCACTCTGCTTCAGTGGCCTGGGTTTGGTTCCCAGGTGTGGACCTACATCCTTCGTTGGCAGCCATGCTGTGGTGGCAACCCACATACAAAACAGAGGAAGACTGGCACAGATATTAGCTCAGGGCGAATCTTCCTCAAGCAAAAAGAGGAAGATTGGCAACAGATGTTAGCTCAGGGCAAATCTTCCTCAGCAAAAAAAAATAAATAAATAAAATTATGGAGGACTCTAAAAAGCTTTTGTTTATGTGGATTATTTCTATCAATATTTACTGTATTAGAAATTAAGACTGAGATCTTTAAAATTTTTCTTTATTAAATCTCTTTAAAATAACAATGATAAACCTATTACATGTTAACATAAATACATCTTTATGCAAAATAACTATATTTTCAAAATTTAAAAAATTTAGTGATTAGAGTATCATTGTTTTACAAATTTCTTTCACATCTAGTAATAGAAGACAGCTGGATTCTTGTATCTGCTTCTGCACTCAATCTGTTCTGATATCACATGGCATATGATAACCTCTGGAAAATTCTACTGTACATTTGAGAGAGAATGAGAGTGGACAAGGCAAGTAATATCCTATTATTATGAAACTAGTTCTGACTTCATGGACTCTCCCCCTAATGGTCTTAGGCACACCTAGGGGTCCCTAGACCACAATTTAAGAACTCCTGATTTAGATTATCATTTTAAAGACTGTATAGTATCCTACTATCTGAACGATCCATACATTTAGAATTTATTTGTGGCTAGAGTGATTTTAGTTATTTTGAAAGTAACTTTTAATTGTGTTTTGTTTTTATCCTTTGGAAGCGTATAGGATTCTATTTCCTGGAAGCTTAAAATCTTTACCAAAACATATCAGAGCATTGATATCTCCTCACAAGTTTTTCCAGGAAAATGGTGTACTGGCTCAAATACAATCTCTGATTCTAATTCACATCTGAAGAGTTTCTTCTATGTTTCCCTTGGTTATTGCTGCTCACCTTTTTGCTTCAAGCTTTGGGAGCTCTTATCATTCACAACAGAGACCTCTATTACAACTTTCCACGTCTGCTGCCTTCATTTACGTTTTATGTATCTTTTTGTTAAATTCTCCTGAATTCTATAAACGTGGCTCTATTTATTCTCCATGTTGCTGATTCAGTTTTCTGTTCTATCAGGTCTTCTTTTCCTTGCTTCAAAAAGAAATGATTTGGCTAACGTTTTGATTTTAAACAGGGTGTTCTTATTTAACAAACATGTAAAATATTTTCTTTTCTAATCTAGAATAATGTGAGTTTTCAAAAATTTTTGTTTTCTTTAATCTGTTTCAGCAGACTCACATTTATGTTTCATTTTTCCTATGTCACAGAATATTTAGATAGGTTTTAAGTTTGGGGTTTAGTTTTAAGATTTTTGTTTGTCTGTTTGTTTTGGTCATGGAATGAGATTTGCTAGTATTTATTATCGCTGCCTGGGAGCTCTGGGTCCTAAAATTCACCCTCAACATCTTGTTCAAATACTATAGAGAAAACCAACCTGGACCTAAATCTGAAAGGCAGGCAGGATCAAGATGCCACTCCCAACTTCTCCCCCAGAATTCCTGGTGGTAAGAGCATCTCATTAAAGTCTAGAGCCTGAGGGCATCACTGCCCCATGAATGATCATAAAGAATCCCATCAGGGCTGGGACAAAACTCTACGCGAATACAGCAGAAGCATTCTATGCTGTTCAGTGAACAAGGAGGATGGGACCTAGAAAATACAAGCAGAAGGAAGAGCAGGGTACTGTGGTTCTTGTCACTTGATTGCACAGAGAACATCAGGGAATGAAGTGCAATGTGCTCAAGCATATCTTTTGTGGTTACTGCTAAAGAGTCAGTCATTTTCAGGTGGCACTTTAAGAGAATTCTGGAGAAGCAGTGGTTGGTGTTGTCACCACTCCACTTTCCAAATTTCCTCTCCTATAGACTTCGGATCAGAAAAGGTTAGCTATTTACTTATTAATTTAATCTAAATCTATTTACTTATTAATTTCCTATGGGGATAGTTCTACCATGCTGGTATTTTTTCCTCATTCACATCAGTAGGGAATCTTCAACTTTCAGTAACAATTAATTTTTGTTAGCATCCTTTCTCAGAAAAAAATTTTTTCCAGGCCACAAAGCAAGATTCATAATATCATCATTATTAATAGTTACTGTTTTAGTTTCCTATTGCTGCTGTGACAAATTACCACAAACATAGTAGCTTAAAACAACATACATTTACTATCTTAGTTTAAGATGTCAGAAGTGTGAAAGAGGTCTGCAGAACTGTGTTCCTTCTGGAGGCTCTAAAAGAGAATCTGATTCCTTGGCTTTTCCAGCCTCTAGGGGCTGCCTACAATCCTTGGCTTGTGGCCTTTTCCTCCTCAAAGCCAGCCGTGTAGTATCTTCTCTCCTCTCTGACCTCTTGCCTCCCTCTCCTAAGGACCCTTGTGATAAACTGGGCCCTCCTGGAAAATCCAGAATAATCTCCCATCGTAAGATCCTTAATTTAATCATATCTGCAAAGTCCCTTTTGAATTTAAGGTAACATATTCACAGGTTCTGGGGATTAGGACGTGGACATCTTTAGGGGGCCGTTATTCTGCTTACCACAGTTACCATTTATAAAATGTCTTCTATATGACAGAAGCTTGTCGTGTAATTTCATTATTCCTTAAAACAACTATGTGGTTGTTTTACTGATGAGAAAACGGAGGCCGAGAGGAGTTCAGAAGACCTCTCTCTTAAACCCCAGGCCAGTCTATCAAACTGTCTATCTGACATCTCCACTTGGATGTCTAATAGCCCTCTCAAACTTAACACATCCAAAACTAAGTTCTTATGATTCCTCCCTACAACCTGCTCTAGCAGGAGAAATCCCCATCTCAGGAATGGCACCATCCTTCCAGCTGCTCAGGCCATTAGAATCATCCTTCACTCTCGTCTTTCTCTCACATCTCACGTCTGATCTGTCACAAAATCCTATTGGCTCTACCTTCAAAATATACCCAAAATTTGACCATGTCTCACCCTTTACATTGCTACCACTCAGGACCAAGCTCCCCTCATCTCTCCCTTGAATTATTATATAGCAGCCTTCTAACCGGTCTTCCTATTTCTGCCCTTACCTCTAATTAATATATTTTCAATAGCCAAAGTGATCTTTCAGAAAACTTAAGTGAGAGCATGTTACTCCTCCGCTCGAAACACTTCAATGCCTTTCTACCTCATTCAGAAGAAAAGCCAAAGTTCTTTCTATAATCTTCAAGGCCCTACATGATGTGACCTCATCTCCTACTCCTCTTCTCCTTACTCACTTCACTCCAGCCACATTGACCTTCTTGAACCTTCCAAGTATGCCCCTGCCTCACAGCTTTGCACTTGCTATTTTTTCTGTGTGGAATATCTTCCTCCAGATATTGGCATAATAAGCTCCCTCACCTCCTTCAGGTCTTTACTTAAATGTTGTTTTGTAGGAAAGCCTTTCTTAGCTACCCTACCTAAAATATTACCCACCCCCATCTCTACCATTTTATATTCCCCCTTTCTGCTTTATGTTTTATCCTTAGCACTGATCTCCAAGCTACTATATATATTACTTATATAATAGGTAGGCATATTTGTGAGTATACAGGGCAGTGCAGGATCCAAGTCCTCGTCCTACTTTCCCGACCTTGGGGATATAGCTGCTTGTGCTGTTCAAGTTGCTGCAGCAGGTGTTGTGTGGGGTTAGGCCTGTAGCTCCTAACTGGGGCTGATTTCTACTTTTATTTTGTATTTCTGGTCTGTGAAGATGAACATTAAATAAAGGGAACTGACTTTGGAAAAAAAAAAAAAAAAAGTAGCTGGTCTCCAAAGTGACCCTCAGTGAGTTTGGCCTCTTGGTATTCAAGCCCCCTCCCACGTTGAATAGGGAAGACCTGTTTAATGAATAGGATATTCAGAAAGATGGCATGTGATTCCAAAGCTAGATCATGAAAGACACTGCAGCTTTCGCCTTGCTGTCCCTTGGATCACTCTAGAGGAAGCCAGCTGCCATGTTGTGAAGACACTCAAGCAGCTCCAGGGAGAAGTCCACGTGGAGAGGAAATGAATCCTCTTGCCAATAGTCAGCACCACTAGCCATCCATGTAAGTCAGCCATTTTGGAAGTAGATCCTCCAGCCCCACTCAAGTTTTCAGATGACTATGGTCCCAGTTGATGTCTTGACTGCAACCTCATGAGAAACCCTGAGCTAGAACTCAACTAAGCCACTCCCAAATTCTTGACTCACAGAAAGTAGGAAAGAAATAACACTGGCAATCAAACCATGACTCACAATGAATGTAAGAGGCATCCTGATTTCAAAGATGTGGAAAAAACTATGTTTTTGAAGTTCAAAACTATGTTTTGAACTGATGTTCAAAAACATCAGTTTTTGAACTGATGAAATATGACAATGATGATATTGTCACTGTTGTTTTTGTCTCCATATAATCTCCATGAAGTCAGGGATTTTTAGTGGTTTGGCTCACTGTGATAGGCACAATGCCTAGAACAGGGCCCAGCACATAAGAGATTAATAATAGTTGCTGGATGAATGAATAAAAATTAACTTGCACAAGGCATATTGTTTAAATGTGGTGGACCTGGGATTCAAACTCAGGTTTTTGATTCTAAAGCTTGTGCTCTTTTATTGCTCATTCTTCAGGATATAGTCTATTTCCAAGATCTTCATCTCATTTTTATTCAATCCTCCTCTTTTACTAAGAAGACAGATATGGGAATAATAATATATAGCTAAAGCTTATGGAGTTATTACCATCTCTAGGACTGTTCTAAGCACATTGTATATATTAACTTATTAACTTTACCACACTATAAGCATATGGTAGGTACTATTATTATCCACATTTATGAGGAAACTAACACACAGAAAGGTAAGGTAACTGAGCCAAGGTCTCATAATTATTTATACCTGTTTGGAGTAAATAATTATAATATGTTCTTTCTTCCAACCTCACCAACTGGAAATCTGTTTATATGTCATTTTACAGCATTTGGTAAATTCAAGGTCTCTAAACGTTTTCTATTGTTGTACTGTTCACATTCCCTATTGAAACACAACAACTTCTATTTGTAGCTAATATCTTAATACATAGGAAATGAAAAATTGAACCATTTCCACACTAAAACTTGAAAACATTCCTTAAAAATTCTGGTTTTAATTCTTGTTTATATCACAGTTTCTAAATTGCATCTGAATATAATGCACTCTATGTGAACACCAGTGTCTATGAATAGACACGTGAACTATAATAAAAACCTTAAATGTGATTCACGCTTTGTATACACTTTCATTTAGAAGGCACTCATATTTGATCTTCATGGTAACATTTGAGAAGCTCTCAGGGAAGGTATTCTTTCCATGTTACTGATGAGAAAATTGACAGTCAAAGAAGTTAAAGTGTCCTCTTAAGATTACATGTGTAGGGAGTGGTCAAGCCAAGATTTTTCTAAATCTACTCCAGTTCCTCACATTGATCTAGACAGCTGTTGGCACGGTTTGTACTGACCTGAGGTAAGTAAGTCAAGTGCAGCAGGAACTCCAATGAGTCTGGGGAGAAGCTGAGTTCCTCTTCCACCAGGAAGAAGTCCTAGTGAGACTTCTGGGAAGCCAACTTTAGCCTATCACAGGTTGAAGGCATAAAAGTCATTAAAATGAGATAATATGTTCAGAGTCAAGGCAAGCACTCCCCTGGATTTCCCACAATCTCAAAAACATTGTTTCATAGAATTCAGCAAGAGTTTCTATCAGGCAAATTAGTGCACACCCTCTCCTTTAATTAACAGCATAAACAAAGCTGTGCTATCCCTAAGTCTTCATGTTGAAACACATCTCTAACTTCTTATACATTTTTTCTCTGACTCTCTTATGACCTGTCTCAGCCAACAAAAATAATAGTCTCCAGGAACAGCTTTACGGAGCCCTGAAAGAGCCAGGCAGCCAAGAAAGCAAAAAGACAACCCACAAAATGGAAGAGAATATTTGCTAATTGTATATCTAGAACATATAAAGAACTTTTATAACTCAATAATAAAAAAACAAATAATTCAATTAAAAACTGGCAAAGTATCTGAATAGATATTTCTCCAAAGAAGAGATACAAATGGCCAAAAGCATATGAAAAGATGCTCCATAGCATTAGCCATCAGGGAAATGCAAATCAAAATCATAACAAGATACCACTTCACACCCACTAGGGTGGCTATAATAAAAACGACAGACAATAACAAATGTTAGAGAAGATATGTAGAATACAGAACCCTCACACTTTGCTGGTGGAAATGTAAAATGCTGGAGCCACTTTAGAAAACAATTTGGGGGTTCCTCAAGGGTTAAATATAGAGTTACCATATGACCCAGCAATTCCACTCCTGGGTATATACCCAAGAGAAATGAAAATGCAGGCCCACAAAAAAACTTGTACACAAATTTTCATAGTGTCATTGTTCATAAAAACTAAGGAGAAACAAGCCAAATGTCCATCAGCTGATGACTAGATAAACAAAATGTGGTATGTCCATACAAGGGAATATCCTTCAGCCATAGAAAAAAAGTACTGATACACGCTACATCATGGGTGAACCTTGAAAACATTATGCTAAATGAAAGAAGCCAGTCATAAAAGACAAAATATTGTATTATTCCATTTATATGAAATGTCCAGAATAGGCAAATCCATTGAGACAGAAAGTAAATTAGTGGTTGCCTAGGACTAGGGGAGATGGGAGGTAGAGGATTACTCCTAAAGGGTATGAAGTTTCCTTTCTGGGTCATAAAATGTCCTAAAATCAACTGTGGTAACGGTTGCATAATTCTGTAAATATACTAATACACCACTGGATTATACACTTCAAATGAGTGAATTGTACTGTATGTGAATTATATCTCAATAAAACTGTTACAAAAAAAAAAAGGAGTTCCCCTTTAGTTGGTGGGTCATGGAGAGGTCCAAGGGCTAGGGTTAGGGGAAGCAAAGGGACAATCAGGGGGCTCAACGTAGCAGTTATTTACCAAGCAGAATGGACGTATTTCAACATTTTAACCACCAGTACTACTGTACTGGTACATAACAGCTGAACACTAGTGCTAGAAAAACCTGAGTTGTCAACTAGTAAGCTAACCGTTTAAAATTACCACCTCTGATGCTTATGACTATATTTAGAGTTTGCCCTAAAGAAAAGCCTCCAATACCAACCAAGCCCCATATGAAGCCTCAGCTGTTACCTCTGCATGGGCAATCCTATAGTGACAGCCCAGGGCCAGCTCTAGTCCCCCTCCTAAAGCCACGCCTTGGATAGCTGCCACCACGGGCTTCTCATTTCTCTGTAATTCATCTACTATAGGTCCCAATGTTAAGTCAGAGATCCTAGGAGCGCTGAAGCCATGGATATCAGCACCTAAGGACACAAAAACAAGTAAAAAAGAGAATTGAGAAAGACTTGGACTTGGTTATATAATAATAAGGTACCAGATAACCCTTAAGGCGTCTCTTTGGGCCCATGAAACACTTCATCCTTTGGCTGGAGACACAGTAAAGGAAAAACAGCCTGGAAAATGTAGAATGATATGAGAGAAAATCCTCAAAAAAAAAATCTTTATCAGGAATCCTCTTTCTTCTAAAATCTGTCTTTCCATATGATAGGTAGCAACTCTACCTTTAGAAAAATTAAAAAGCTCAGAGAAGGAGAATAGAGATTCTGAGACTGAGTCAGCCCATCTCATTTTTTGCATGATGCTGCTCACCAACCCTATTCAAAGAAATCTAGATCCATATCTTCGTTAAGGGCATGAGTCATTACAATATAAAATCTCAGGATAAAATGCATACATATTTTGTGAGTTACATACTAATCAACCAGGTTAGAATTATGTTTTGGTGGTAGATTTTTTGTGATCAGTAAAAGTAACAACATTTATTGCTTTTCCAAACTATAAAAATAAGATAAGCATTATGGAAAATTTGAAAAATACACAAAATTATAAAAAATATAAAGATCACCCCAAATATCACCCTATAGAGATAACAATGTAATATTTTAGTGAATTCTTAGTTTTTTCCCCAATGCATATATGTAAATTGCTTAGTGACTTTGAATAAGTTATTTTACCTTTTTGTCTCAATATCTATCTTTTCTTTTTTTTTTTTTTTTGTGAGAAAGATGAGCCCTGTGCTATCATCCGACGCTAATCTTCCTCTTTTTGCTGAGGAAGATTGGCCCTGGGCTAACATCCGTGCCCATCTTCCTCTACTTTATATGGGACACTGCCACAGCATGGCTTGACAAGCGGTGTGTCAGTGTGCGCCCGGGATCCGAACCTGCGAACCCTGGGCTGCCGCAGCGGAGCACTCGCACTTAACTGCTGTGCCACCGGCCGGCCGCCTCTCAATACCTATCTTAAATGACTGATGTGAGAATTAAATAAAAGTTTACTATAATATATATTTTTAACAATATTGAGAGCATTCTGTAAAATCATTTTTTATATTTTCCTTTTTTCACATAACATTGTACGTAGTGAACTGTTTCCCTATAGCATTATCTATTCTTTGAAACATTAAGCTTGGTAAAAGTTAAAAAGTTAAAGTAATTATTTCATGTTCAGCCTTTTCATCTTTCTTTTTCTTTGCTACCTGCTCCTCCTCTACCATCAACCCAGGGATTATGCTTTTTTTCTCACCAATCTATCATATTTCACACTCTAGTATAGTGTTACTTTTTTTTTTTTTTTTTGATTCCTTTTGGTTCTAGAGAAACGAGATGAATTTCAGTCTGAATCTTGGGCCTATCTTTCCCATAACTTTAAATTAAAATGATTTTTCATGTAATAATGGCAATTGACATTTCTTGGATAAATACATCAGGTACTGTGCTAAGTAGTTTCATATACTATCTCATTTAATTTTCTTAACACCTAGGTTAAGTAGTTTAACAATTCCCATTTTACAGGTAAGGATCTTAAGGCTTTGAGATGTAAGTCACTGATCAGACATATGACTAGTACCTGGTAGAATAAGGATTTGAACTCAGGCAGTTTGACTATTCAGCCCACATTCTTAAACGTTATACTACATTCTTCTACTTGCAACATAAAGTTAGTATTATTATTATCCCAATTTTACAGAAACCAAGGCACAGACAAGAGTATAGTGATTTCGCTTTGTAACTGTTTATTCCTGGCATATAGAAATGTAGTTAAGTTTTGCATATTGATTTTATAAACAGCAAAGTTGCTAAATTGTCTATTAGTTCTAATAATTTTCTGATTATTTCAGTTTTTCTACAAACACTCATATCTTCTGAATAATGAAGTTTTGTTTCCTCCTTTCCAATCCTTACATCTTTTATTTCTTTTTCTAGCTTACTGGGCTGGCCAAGGCCTAGAATAAATCTGAAATACAAAATGGTGACAGCAGCCAGCCTTGTCTTGTTCCTTTCTCATAAAGAAAGCTTTCGACTTACCATTTTGTTTGATGTTTGCTGTAGGTTTTTAAAAATAGATATCTTTTGCCTGATTAAGACATTTCTTTCGTGTACCTAGTTTACTAAGAATTTTTATTTTTAATGCATGTCAAATGTTATCAAGTGTTTTTTCTACATCTCTTGAAATAACCATATGATTTTTCCTCCTTTAATCATTTAATAGGATGAATTACATTTGATGTTCTAATGTTTAACCAATCTGGTATTTCCGGGATAAAAGTGATAGATTATACTTTTTATATATTGTTAGACTCAGTTTTATAATATGCTGTTTCAGATTTTTATATCTATGTTTATGAATGAAATTGGCCTATAATTTTGCCTTTTCATACCATCCTTGACAAGTAAGTGTTGGTGTCAAGGTTATGGTAGCTTCACAAAATGAGTTGGGAAGTGGACTGGGTTGAACAGTGTCCTCCCAGAACCAGTGCATGCAACCTTATTTGGAAATAGGGTCTTTGCAAATGTAATCAGGTAAAGATGAGATTATACTGGATTAGGATGGGTTTATGTAAGATCAGGGGAATTTGGACACAGGGAAGAAGGCCAGGGGAAGACAGAGGCAGAGATTGGAGTGATGCAGCAACAAGCCAAGAAATGCCAAGGATTACCAGAAACCACAGAAGCTGGAAGAGGCAAGGAAGGATTCTTCTCTAGAGCCTTTGGAGAAAGAATGGCCTTGCAGATATCTTGATTTTGAACTTCTAGCCTCCGGAACTGTAGAGAATAAATTTCTGTTGTTTTAAGTTGCCCAGTTTGTGGTCATTTGTTACGACAGCCCCAAAAGACTAATACAGGAAGTGTTCCCTCTTTTTTTATTCTCTAAAACGTTTGTGTAAAACTAGAATAATATTTTCCTTGACTTTTCCGTTAGATCTTGCCAATGAAGTCATCTGGGGCTGGAATTTACTTTGTGAGATTTTATTTTATTACTGATTCAATTTCTTTAATGGTTTTCTATTTCTTCTTGCATCAGTTTTGGTAAGCTAAATTTTTCTGCTTGTTCATAATATCTTCATTATCTTTTTTTTTTTTTTTTTGGCTGGGAAAGATTCACCCTGAGCTAACATCTGTTGCCAATCTTCCTCTCTTTTTTTTTGCCTCCTCAAAGCCTCAGTATATGGTTGTATGTCCTAGTTGTAAGTCCTTCTAGTTCTTCTATGTGAGCTGCCGCCACAGCATGGCAACTGACAGACGAGCAGTGTGGTTCCACACCCAGAAACCAAGCCAGGGCCACTGAAGTAGAGTGTGCCAAACTTGAACCACTAGGCCATCAGGGCTGGCTCTCCATTATCTTTTTAAATGGCTATAGCACCTGCAGTGATATCCCTTTTATCATTCTTTATATACATTGTTTGTGCCTTCTCTTTTCTTCTCAATCAGTCTCTCCAAAGGCTTGTCAACTTTATTAGTCTTTCAAAGAACTAACTTTTGACATTGTTCTTCTTCTTGCTTCACATTTTTTTTTTTTTTGTGAGGAAGATCAGCCCTGAGCTAACATCCATGCCAATCCCCCTCTTTTTGCTGAGGAAGACCGGCTCTGAGCTAACATCTATTGCCAATACTCCTCCTTTTTTTTTTCCCCAAAGCCCCAGTAGATAGTTGTATGTCATAGTTGCACATCCTTCTAGTTGCTGTATGTGGGACACTGCCTCAGCATGACTGGAGAAGGGGTACGTTGGTGCGCACCCGGGATCCGAACCTGGGCCACCAGTAGCGGAGCGCGCGCACTTAACCGCTAAGCCACGGGGCCGGCCCCACATTTGTTTTCTATCTCATTAATTTCTCCTCTTTATTATTTCCTTCCTTCTACTTCATTTGGGTCTATTTTACTGTTTGTTTGTTTTGTTAGTTCCTTGATACAGATGCTTAGCTCATTATGTTTCAGTCTTTTTTCTCTGATATATATCTTTAAGGTTACAAATTTCCTGCCAAGTTTTGCTTTAGGTGTATCCCTCAAGTAATATATATTGTGTTTTCACTATCATGCAGTTCAAAATATTTTCTAAATTCTATTCTAATTTGTGCTTTGACTCAGAGGTTATTAAGAAATAAATTTAATTTCTTTTTTTAAAGAAAATGCATTTTTAATTTTTCTCTGTTATAGTTCTGTTGTTTTTAAAAGAGCAATGCTTTTATTTTATTATTTTTTTATTGCAGTAACATTGGTTTATAACATTGTATAAATTTCAGGTGTACATCTTTATACTTCTATTTCTGCATAGATTACATCATGTTCACCATTAATTTATAAACATATGAGCATTTCTATTTATATTTTTGTTATTGATTTCTAGTTTAATTGCATTGTTGTCCAAGAACATATTCTAAATGAAATTTATTGAGATAAGCTTTCATGGTCCAGGATCTGGTCAATTTTTGTAAATGTTGCAGATTTGAGAAGGATATATATTTTCCAATTGTTGGGTATACTGTTCTATTGAAGTCCATTAAGTCAAGTCTGATAATCCCTAATGCTTTTCTAGAACAACAATTTTTTACGCCCCTGAACTCTAACTACATTTTCTCCTACCTCCTTTCTTACAAAGAAATATCAACTTCTCCATAATTCTTTTTTTTTTTTTAAAGATTTTATTTATTTATTTTTTCCCCCCAAAGCCCCAGTAGATAGTTGTATGTCATAGCTGCACATCCTTCTAGTTGCTGTATGTGGGACGCGGCCTCAGCATGGCCGGAGAAGCGGTGCGTCGGTGCGCGCCCGGGATCTGAACCCGGGCCGCCAGCAGCGGAGCGCGCGCACTCAACCGCTAAGCCACGGGGCCGGCCCATTCTCCATAATTCTGATCCATCTCTCCATGCCTCAAAGGGCTCTTGAGCTCCCAACCTTAGGTTTTCAAACAGTAAGCCATTCAATAGCTGGTTACTGTTTGGCACATTATTTTAATTTCTCTCAGGCTCAGCTTTTTAATCTGTAAATGGATATTGTAGGGTTTACTGAGGATTAAAATACAATGTATATACAACTACTACTATTTTCATTATTAATAAATTAATAGCCTATACAGTACTGTCACATAGCAGGCAAGATAAATGGTAATTACTATAATGATTAACATTTTTATATTTATTTATTGTCATGATTCCAATACCTATTTCTACTCAGGCTACCATGAACATACATTAAATTCCTCTGACTACAGTAAGAATGCACAGGCCCTCATATCCATGTGACTTTTGTCAAGAGGTATAATATATTCATTTGGGAAAAAAGGAAAAGGTGCCACAAATACCACTGAATAAATCACCATTTTCAGATACTTTTGCCATATTTTATCAATATTTTTACATCTTCACCCAATAACCCAATAAAGAGTGCCATGGTCACTGAGATGGGTGACTATCAGAAGAAAAATGAACTCCATTTCAAGACTTTGTGTGAAATAAAAAATAACTTTTATTGAACATCTTCTTCAGGCAGGCACTGTACGAGGCACTTTCAGATATGCTATCTCATTTAATCTCACAAAAACTCGTTAAGATAGAAATTACTGTATCTACTTTATACAGACAGAAATTAAGGTTCAGGAGATTAAACAGTCTTGTCCAAGCTCACACAAGGTGGACATATGCAGAGCAGGAATGTACCACTAGGTGTATACTAGCAGGTATAACAGCCATCAAGCCTGAAACTAAATGTCCTCCAAAGGCCCAATCCCGTGTGAAAGAGAGGAAGGTCAGAGGCTTCTCTGGGTCTCTCTGTCACTCCTGTCTCTTTCTCCACAATGTTTCTCACTCCCACCCAAGTCTCCCATATCCATCACCCACACTCTGGTATTGTCTTCAGGGATAGCTAAGACACTATCGATCTCAGTCTGTGGATTCCAGAGACAGGGGGAGAGGGTTAGACACTGGTTACCTGCAGAGAAAATGCCACCTGCTCCACAAATCACAATGGCTTTTACTGTATGGTCTGTTACAGCTTTCTGCAGTCCCTCTTTTATCCCACGGAGTACAGTGACACTAAAAGAAAAAAATTACACGAAGCATTAGCTAGAATTAAATTTCCTTTCCTAACAACGAAAAGTTAAATACATACCTGATGGATAAAAACCGTCGATACTCATCATTAAGCTTTCACTAATTTGTTCAAAAAATAATATATATGTCTCCTGTGAATTAAGCACTGGGCTGATTAAAATGAATAAACTCCTAAAAAATGTTATTTTCCTGCAATCTGCTGTCACTTTGACCACTTAGAATCAGCACTAACCAATTTTAAAATTATTATACATCTTCTATGTGCAGTGCAAGGAGTTTACAACATTCTAAGGAGAACAAAATATCATATTAAGATGAGTGCTGTTTGTAATAAAGGTACAAAGAAAGTGATGTGGAAGTTCAGAGAAGGAAGACCAATTTGTCATATTGGCAAATAAGAAAACTGAAACAGTCAAAAAAGAAACAGTCTAAGAGATGTGGCAGAGGCTGCAAGTTACCCCAAATATCCATCCCTCCCCCATCTTCTTCAAAGTGTTAAACACCTGGGTTTTAGCTGTACCTGGCTACCCAAAATAAAGACTACATTTCTCAGCCTGCTTTACAGTAAGATCGGCCGAGGCATTAAGTTCAGGACAACAGGATGGAAGCAGATTTGGTATGTGCAACTTTTGGGAATAGTCTTAATAGGACTGGGTATGCTTTTCGAGTCCTTATAGGATTGGGTATGGTTTTCTCTTTTTCTTTCCTCTCTACTCCTGGTAGGAAGGCAGATGTGATGACTAGATCGGGAGCAGCCATTATGGACCGAGAGGTGGAAGCCACATATCAAGAATGGCAGAGCAAAAGATATGAAATTGGGGCCCTGATGATTGTGGAGCAGCCATACCATACCAAGACGCTGCTGTGAGAGAAATCAGTGTTGGCTTGTTTAATCCACTATTATTTTGATTTTTCTGTCACTGGCATATAAACCTAATCCTAACTAATTTAGGAAGTAAAGGCAAGGTCTAGGAGACAAAGGGCACGTAGTAGATTTTGCCAAGTTTCAGTAGATGAGGGAGTCAATCCACAGAGCAGATAGTTAAAGCCGAGATTGAATGAATCTGCCAAAGAAAAAGAAAAGAGAGCTGAGGGTAGATGCTCTGGATACCCTCTCCTCTAGGAAATGGGAGAGGTTCAGCAGAGTGATTTAGCACCAAGGGAGCCCAAAGTCACAAAGACCAAGAGAAGAGAATTTTTCAAGAAGCAGTGGATGGTGAAGGAGGAGAACCTAGGAAAAGCGGTGAGAAATTGCCTAAATAAAAATGATAGAACCAGAGTCCAATCAGTTCTGCCTTCGAATTCTGAGTATTTTGGGTAAAATGTCTGTTCTTTAGTATACAGTGCAAAAAAAAAAAAAAAATCTGAAAACAACAGCAAACTTCTATAAAAGCCAGAGTGTTCAGACCAGCAACTATGAGTTAAACTCTCAGCGAATAAAGGAGATAGTTGCCCTTGTATATGATAATTCCCTTTCTCCTAGTTACTTTTCATTATTTAACCTAGATGAAATCAAACAAAACCTCTTGCCTTCAACTGATTAATTAGAAACCAAATTTGCTAATGAAAAACAGATTCTGAACCATCCATAATACTGGTAAGTCCAAAGGGCACATATTGGAGCCACCCCTGATGGCCTCATGGTTCAAGTTTGGCACTCACCACTTCAGTGGCCCGGGTTCAGTTCCGGGTCACAGAACCACACCACCGGTCTGTCAGTAGCCATGCTGTGGCAGTGGCTCATATAGAAGAACTAGAACGACTTACAACTAGGATGTACAACCACGTTCTGGGGCTTTGGGGAGGAAAAAAAAAGAAGAAGAAAACAAAAACAAAAGAAGAAGAAGAAAACAAAACAAAAGCAACAAAAGGCACATATTTCCTTCTGGGTAAATGATGGCTGCAAAATTAGCCAAAATGAGCTCAAACAGTGCCACTGAGGAGAAGAGGTTGGCTTTTCCCATTTCAACCAACCCCTACTCTTTTATTTCTTATGTTCTTTCAATTTTGCAAAAATCAAACACAAGAAATAAAGAAAAATGAAGATGGCTATAACAGACACAGCTTTACTAGATTCAAGCCTACTGAAAGAGACCACAGCCTAGGAGCAGTGTCAAGGTCACAGGGGTCAAGAAATTATTTTCTCCCCTTAATATTGTCAGGTATGGAGAAGGGGAGTCTGGAATAGATAACATTTCATGAGTGCTGACCAAAACTCTTTAGCTTCTGTGACTGTAGGAGGTCTTTTTTCTTAGGTTTTTTTTTTTTAAACCAAAGGTCGTCAAATCAACTTTATGGCTATGACCACCATTTTTTTAAACCAAGAAATAGAGAAAAAGAGAAAACAGAACATATCAAATTATATAACATATAAGGATAAGTTTTGTCTCACAAAACTGTTTTCAGTTGTGTATTTGTCTGTGTGTCTTAGGTTGCTACATAAAACAGGGTTTTTGACTGTGTGGATTACAGTAAAAAAAAGTGGGAGAGCCATTGTTCTGAGAGACAGGCCTAGGAATCAGGCATGCCCTATACTTGTAAAGAGGGTTGGCATTCATCTGAATGGAAGGAAACATGGCTGGCTAAACTAGCAGAGAAGGATTTAAACTATTTGGGCCAAAAAGTATTCAAAAAAGAATGTCTCAGTGAGCTAAGAAGAGATAATTTCCCACAGAAAATTAGAAATAGGAAGGGGAAAAGAAAGAAAGAGAAGAAGTAAAGAAAAATATAAAGCACAAAAAAAAGGGAACCTGTTAAACTTGATAAACATGCTGGGATGTACAGCTCTACCTAAAATATAAGTTCAAAAGAAGATAGATGAGAAAGGGCAGAAAAGTATTTATGCCCAAGTGGAGAAAATCTTGATGAAGCTGAAACGAATCCTGGGCAGCAGGGCCTGTTGGTAGGGGCTTATAACAGGCCTCTGACTAATAAAAATCATGATAGCTAACATCTGTTAAATGCCTGTTTATAATCTCCAACACATTTATTTATGTATTTTTATTGTATAAGTTGCAGGTGTACAGCTTCATAATTCAACATCTGCATACACTACAAAGTGATCACCACCGCAAGTCCAGTCACCATCCATCACCATACAGTTGACCCCCTTCAGCCATTTCGCCCATCCTCCTCCAACACATTTAAACCTCACCACAACTTTATCAGGTACATACTAACATTTCTCCAGGGGGCAAGCGGGCAGGTTAAATACCTGAAATATTTAAAATAGCTATGAGAAAATATTCCTTGTTACGGGTATTACACTGCGGAACATTTTTCCCCCAAATTCTTGATGGGCATGGTTTCCTATTGTGAGCAGAGGCTGAGGCAGACAGTCCTAGTATCTAGTCATTCTAATTAGAATACAGACAAGTCTAAAATTGATATGTAATCATATTGCTTATGGGGTTTTTTGGTCAAAACCAAAATAATGGCTATTTTGCCTTTTTCTGAGAATGGCAAGTAGGCGGACATATCATCGTTGTGTGATTTTACTCTTGCATATTTTTTGTATTATTAAATGTAATAATTCATGTCAAAGATAAGAATTATAATATTAATACTAATGATATAATCAAATCTGATGACAGTAGGATAAAAATTCAGTTAAAATGAGCAGGTCTCCTCGTTCAGTCCCTTTTTGCTCCAGCAGCAGGCAATAAGAATTTTGAGCAAAGGTCTTTCTCTCCATACTTTATATATTCTTCATAAATTCTGCTAATCCTACTCCCTATGGATGGGGCGGCTCTCTACTAGGCTGATGTATCACTATACTTTTTTCAGAGATATGAAAGAACCAAACCTATGTTAATTTTCAAAAAAGCAGCATTAATCTCCCTTTTAAAAGTACTGCTTAAGTGCACTGCACAAATCTGGGTTAGAGAGTTTAACAAGGAAGGTGCTCCACGATAAAATAAAAGAAGATAAACCGCACAGCAGTTTTTCAGAAAATGTTATTTAATAGGCTTACTCTGACTTGGATCTTCCAAGCACTGAAGCACTAAGGCCCCGAGGTTTAGACAGATCAAGAGATAGAACTGTGCTTTTCTGGGCCAGGACACAATTCTCCTTTACTTCACTGAGTTGGCATTAATGGAGACCTTAATTTATTTTTAAGAATGTGAAGTCACTTTATTGTTGGATTCCTAGAGCTTTTAGTTACACATTGTAAGGGTGGCCTGGACTCCAAGTTGGCAAGGGAGAGATCAAGGTCTAGCCAGCACTGCGCTTAGACCTTTGGAATAGAAAGTAGGGGTGAGAAGTCAAAGTTGCAAGGCATGGACGAACCCGGTTCAAGGCCAGCTCCCCAACTTCGTGGCCCTCTGTCCACCTCTCAGCCTCGGTTTCTTACCAGTGAAACCGGGATGCGAGTTCTCTGAGAACATGAACCAAGCTAACCTACGTAAAAGGCATATGCCGTTGTTCAACCTGTGTTAGTGCCTCTCTCCGTTTAAACCAGCAGAGGAGAGTCAAAGCCACCACAGCGGGCAGACGGCTAAGGCCCTGCTGTCCCGGGGCTGGAGGCCACCGAGCCCGTTACCTGATCGCGTTGACCGGCGGGTTTCGGAGGCGGATCAGCGCCAGGCAGTTCTGCAGCCGCGTATACTCAGCCATGTCTCCTCTGTCGCCGAGGTCGCCTCCGCCTCCCGCCCCAGGGCAATGCTCCTTTTCTCGGCGCGCCGGCCGGCCCCGCGAGGAGGGGCGCCCGCTGGGCCAATGCGAGCCCGGCGCCACCTCCCGCCGCCCCGCCGCTCCCGGGCACCGACGCCCATCCTCCGACCCAGCCCTCCCCCTTTTCCGGACCCCAGCCCCGCGCTCTGCAAACCCTTGTCTTCCGTTTCTCTTTATTGGCTCCCATCCTGCTCCCGTTACAAAGTAAATCAGGGAAGACGATGGAAAACGGGTGGAATTGCCAGGAAGTTGAGGTTTGCAACCCCCTGGCCCAGGGGGCTGGCTTCTCTGAACGAGTTCTAGGTTCACTAAGTTGGTGGAGCTGTCCTCATCACAGATTTCATCCTCATGATCCTTCTTAACAGGGTCAGATATCTGGGGTCCTGACAATTATGTGATATGACACACACCTGGAACACATAAAATACACACATCATGCATTTCACCTAAATAGGTATGGTACTGACATCAACCAAATTTTTACAGAACAGTCCTACAGTAACCTAATGAAACCTGTGAGTTTCTTGTCTGCCTAATCCTATTTTTTTCTTCTTCTGCCATTCCTAAGGATTGTGAATCCTAACATTTCATTCATGAATTGAGTACCTATTATGTGCTAAGGTAGGCAAGAGACTAAAGATAAATAAGGCCTAGCCCCTTCACTCCAAAAGTTCAGGCTGGGACAAGGTTTTTCTAGATGTAATTGGCCCCTAGTGGTCTCCACAGCCATCAAGTGGCCAGAAGGCAGTTTGGAAGTTTCAGAGAAAAAAAACAATGGAGTGATTTTGTTCACTGATGTTTCACAAATTTTAGCAGTGATTAAAGGCTATTTTCATAGATATTCTTTTACCTCTCGAAACTGTCGGGAGAGAGGGAGAATCTCCCTCTGCCCTTTTCCTTAAGGTTCTTATGGCTGGCCAAATAATCAACAAGATAGGTTAGCAGCAGAAAATAATACCAAGTTTAATAACATGTATACATGGGAGAAACTCAGAAATGAGCAACTCGTCCCTCTGTCTAAGCTGCTTGCTTAAGTATTGCAGCTAAAGGTGAGGAACGTGTTCCAGTGGGTAGTGGTCTGGGACTTCAGAGGCCAGGAAGACAATTCTTTTCAGGGTCATCTATAGATAATGTGGTCAGGGAGAGACAGAGTTTTTGATAAAAGAGGCTTGGTGCCTTTCCTATTGTAACCTCTATCCTACATTATCTTTACAGCAATCATGATAATAACTCCTTCCTGAAACAGATCTTTTGTTTTAAATTCTTTAGGCAGTTTGGGAGGGGAAACTCAAATATTCTTCCTGAGTTCTCTGAGTCCTTATTGTCTTCAGCTCGAAATAATCCACATACCAGAGTGGTGCCTCCTGGGGTAGCTTGCCCTGAGCACCATCAGAAATAAAAAGAGATTGTGGGGCCAGCCTAGTGGAGTAGTGGTTAAGTTCACGTGCTCTGCTTCGGCAGCCTAGGGTTCACAGGTTCAGATCCCCGGCATGGACATACGCACCACTCATCAAGCCATGCTGTGGCGGTGTCCCATATACAAAATAGAGGAAGATGGGCACAGATGTTAGTTCAGGGACGATCTTCCTCAGCAAAAAAAGGAAGATTGGCAGGGGATGTTAGCTCAGGGCCATTCTTCCTCACCAAAAAAAAAAAAAAGAGGTTCTGACTTCTAGGAAAATACCAATTGCCCTGAAGCCCTGGAAACAAATAGCAGTCAGAACCCACCCAATCCATCAAGGACCACCTATCAAGAACAGCCCTGACTCTGACAGCCAGCCAATCACACACAGCCCAGTACGCATGTCTCTGAGCACCAACATCAACAACCAGCTTCTTACAGGTGATAGCAATCTCTCATGACTCTGAAAATTTGCCAGTCCGTGAATTCCACCGTACCCAAAAACTCAATGTAAGATCAGCAGTCTGCTCTGCTTGTAGAGACTGTGCATGACGAACACAGCTTTCCTTTACTATAGGAAGCAATACATTCAGTTTTGTCTTCTTATTTCAGATACTGGTCTCTGGGGGAACAACTCTGTGGCATCCTAGCAACTTTGAACATCTCCACAAAGTCTATGTAGGCAAGGCTAACAGCTCTGAAAGGCCTGAAATTCCTCCTGGAGCAAGGGGAGATCAGCGTGGCGTGGAAACGTTTTGAGGCAGTTTTCATCTCTCTCGTGGAGGAGTTGACCACAGGTCATTTCTCACCTATCTCCCTAGTTTTAGTAAAAGGCAGAACTTTCTGCCTTGCGCCCCTGCTCCAACCTTAGGTACAGCTGCAAATTTCTGTGAAAATCTATAAAACTGCTTGACAGTAGTTTAGTGTTGGCTCCTCCACAGGGCAGGGACTAGGGTAAGCAAGCGAGGCACCTAGTGGGCAAAATTTAAGAGGGCACTCACTCTCAGTTTCCTACAGGTGCTGACCCAGCCCTGCTCCTCACCAACAGAGGGACCCATGGTTCCTGTGATCTGTCATCTAGCCCCTCCTGTTTGGTGTCATCCTGTGGAACTACAGACACAGAGAGCTGATACCATGCTGATCTTTCTTTTGCCGTGTAAATAATAAACTGTCTAAATCTATTTTGGCTCCTTATGGACTGAATCTATGGAAATGTGGCAAGCCAACTTAGCAGGTGCCACCATGCTGCTGCTTGACCACTTGACAGTCTCTTTGTCATTGTGACGAATTGTTGTCTTCTCATTTAATTTGTCTCAATAAGTGCAACTTAACAGGATGCCATTCCTCTCGGCTAATGTACTTCCACATGATTTGCATGTTACTGCTTTTGCTTGTTAAATATGTCATTTTCATTGTTGTCATTGTGTTGCAATTCACACAAATAGATCAGTTGATCAGAAGTGGTTCATTATTGTTGAAAAGAAAAATAAAAGAATGTAAATATAGAACTTTTGTGTGCCAGAACATCCAAATATGTACTCACAATAAGAACAGAGAACAGAGATGACTATCTAAACTTGGTGATGTGTTGGGAAACTTCATTCGATAATGGCAGGTAGCCATCATAGCTAACTTCTCTGATAAACCAATCAGGTTTTTCTGGAACAAATGAAAAATATTGCTTACCTGCTGGAGGGATAAAATCTCTCACACGTTCTCTTCCATGTCCTTTCCCCTTTCAATGTGGGATACAAATGGGCACAAGGCCCAGAGGAGGATACAGCCACAGACAGAAGAAATGACTTCCCAAATGATTTTGTGGAGGAGAACTGCCCTGCTGGCTAGAACCGACATGGACTATTACAGGAGAAAGAAAGAAATTTGGGTCTGTTTGTTAAAGAATTTTAACCTGTCCTCACTAATACAGTGAAGAAATGGGCAATGAGAACACTCTTCCACAGTGAAGTTGGCTGACATTTGAGGAGAAAAGCTGCTCACATAAGTGTTTGAGATAAGAGACGGGACATAATTTCTTCACTATACCAATAATATCAATAATGACAATCTCTATAATTTCAAGTGGCTTGCTCAAGTGTCGAGCCTTGGAGATACAATACACACACACACACACACACGTATATTCAGTATCTTAATGATGAAGATAAGCCAGCAGATAATCCTAAAGCGGACCCAACTGTGGCAAAAATGACTCAGTCACATCTTGATAATCTTCACTGGTTGAAATGTTGGAGATTAATGATGTATTATTGAGCATATTTAAAGATCATGCCCATATGCTGCAACCAAATCTGGGCTGAATGCAGCCAAAAATCAAACTGAGAATCCATTCACTGTTATCTCCCATGTTTCAACCTCTCAGCTTTTCAGTAAGCTCTGCTTATCACTTTAGATTTTCAAATAGTTTTTTCACTATATGTGTCATCTCTGTCAACTTCTGGACTGAAAAACATGCATGAAATGTCCCTTCTCCACAGCAGAAGCACCTTTTATGACATCTCTGGCATTCTCCAGCATCCAATTTCATTTTGTGTTGCAAGTGCAGTTAGGCTATAGTTCACCTTTATACTTTCCCAGCTCTTTCTCCTAATTTCCCGCATATCGTTTTACTGAAAAGAGACTATTTTGTTTGCTAATGATAATCTTTTTCAGCTTTTCTGACAAATTAGCCCTATTTAGAAAGAGGCTACATAGACATAAATTTGAGAGATGTCCTAGGTTAGTCTAATATTCGTTCTAACATAAGAATGTCTCAATAACAAGATTACTCACTTTTCTTTGAATGCTTCCAATGATGGAGAGCTTAGTACTCTGTGTGGTAGATAGTTCTACTTGCTAAAAGAAAATTACCCTATTCCCTAGAACTTTATACTCTCTGATTCTACTTTTGTTCTCAGGAGTAATTACCCCCTGATTCTACTTTTGTTGTACATACGTCTCCCTTTAATAGAACGGTCTTTCATCAAATATTCAAAGATGCTGACAAGTCTGTCCTAGGCCTGCTCCTTTTAGGCTCTTTCTCAGGTACCACCACTTCTCATATGATAAGGTATTTCTAGTTCCTTATTATGTTGGTTGTGCTGGACACTCTTCATATTTGTCAATGGCCCTTTTAATTAGCATCTGTTCTCTGTATTCTGCACCTGTCATCGATCAGGTCATATTCGTATGTCCTTAACTCATGTTAGCGCTCTCTTTTTTCCTTATCCATAAAGACATTTTTCCTTTTAAATTTCAAGTGATGTTCTCTTTTTTAACAGGATAATTAATGTTTTTATTAAGATATAACACACATACCATACAATTCACCCTTTTAAAGTGTGCAATTCAGTGATTTTTAGTATATTCACAAGGTTGTACACCATCACCACTCTCAAATTCCAGAACATTTTAATCACCCCAAGAGAAATCCTGTACCCATTAAGCAGTTCCTTATCATTCCTCTTTCTCTTTATCCCCTAGGAACCACTAATCTACTCTAATAGAGACACTAATCTGTCTCTATGGATTTGCCTATTCTGGACATTTCATATAAATGGAATCACACAATATGTGGTCTTTTGTGTCTGGTTTCTTTCCCTTA